TGATGCAGTCTCCCAAACACATTGCAATGGGTTCTTCGATGGAGGCTTTGCTGCAGGCGGTGGGGGACGGAGAGTTTACGGTGGACTCAGACCGCGCTAGAGTGGGCGTAGCCATGACGTGGCTGTTGCACAACAAGATGCGGGCCCGCTTGGAGAGAGGAAATTTCCAAGATTACCGGCTCCTTCTGAATCTGCGGCACCTGTACCTGAAGCGCTTGCCATGTTCGGAGCAGGAAAGTCTCGTGCCGGGTTTTGATGCCGAGACAGCCGGGGACTTGCCAGAGCGATTTGCTCGCTTTTTGCATGACAACGGTTTCGATAGTCCGGTGCGCCCGGATGCGGCAGGCTGGACTCCCATCTGCTATGCCGCCCTCAACGGGGACCCTGCCCTCATTTCCGAATTGTTGAAGCACAAAGCTAGCCCGCATGATCGGATCCAGACATCGAAGCCGGTGTTCAGCCTTGCGAAACACATGACACCCTTGCATCTTTGTGCACTCTTCTGCAACAACGACGCCATGAAGATCTTGATCTCCGGACGCGGGGACGTCCTTGCACGAGACCGCCGTGTTGCAACTCCTCTGCATTGGGCGAATGTGTCCAACAACGTGGAAGGGATCAAGACCCTACTGGCTGCCACTGCCGACCCAACCCTGCTTGACAGGGTGCGTTGGTGCCCGCTTCAGGTCGGCTGCGCGTTTGCTTCCAGGGAGGCTGTGATGATGCTGCACGGGCATTTAACGCAACGCACACAGCGTTCCTCCAGCTCCTCAAGCCCCATCAGCTCAAGTAGCTCATGGTTGAGGTCAGCTTTGCACTTGGGGGCCGGTTTGACAGGAAGCAACGCGCAGTTCATTGCTACTTTGGTGCGGGCGGGTGCGGATGTGAACGAGGTGGCGCCCCTGTCGGATGCGTTGGAGTTCAAGATGCTCATGGCAGCCCTGAGATTGAAGCACCAGCTCCGCCCTACGACCCTCACGCGCTTGGCTCACCATGGCTCTGGAGCGACTCCTCTCATGATCAGCATCCTCGCCGGAGCCTTCGAGGCTGTCTCTCCCCAGAACCCAGCCCTGTTGGGCCGTCAGGCCCTGCCCCCCCATCTTGCCCCCTGCCCCTTGTTCCCCACCCTCTGTGTAGGGTTGTTAGATTTTCCTCCTCCTCCTTCTCCTCCTTCTCCTTCTCCTTCTCTTCGGTGTCTGGATCTTCGTCACTGTCAGCTTCGCGCTGCTTGCCTCGATGGGAGCA